AAAAGTGTTCATTGTTATTAGCCATCAGGGAAATTCATATCAAAACCTCTAAGGCATACCACCTTATACCCGTTACAATGGCAAAAGTGACTAGGCATAAGCAACGAATCTTGGAACACTGAAAAAACAAAATTAATTTTAAAAAAGTGAGAAGGCAAGAAACAACAAATATTGGTTGGAATGCAAGTTGATATAGCCATATTCGAAATAAGTGTGGAGGTTCCTCAGAAAGTTAAAAATATAACTATTTTATGACCCAGCAATTGCACTACTGGGTATTTACTCCAAAGATACAGATGTAGTGAAAAGAAAGGCCACATGAACTCCAATGTTCATAGCAGCAATGTCCACAAGAGACAAACTGTGGAAACAGCCAAGATGCCCTTCAGCAAAGGAATGGATAAAGAAGATGCAGTTCATATATACAACAGAATATTACTCATCCATCACAAAGGATGGGACTGGAAGAGATTTGCACCAGCATTGATGGGACTGGAGGAAATTATCCTAAGTGAACTGAGTTAAGTAGAGAAAGACAATTATCATAATGTTTCACTTACTCATGAAAGATAAGGAATGCATGGAGGACATTAGGAGAAGGAAGCGAAAAATGAAAGGGTGGGAACCAGAGGGGGAGATGATCTATGAAAGACTATGGACACCGATAAATAAAGTGAGGGTTTTAGAGAGGAGGATGGTGGTGGGATGGGTTAGCCTGGGATGGGTATTAAGGAGGGCAACATATTGCGTGGAGCCCTGGGTGTTATACGCAAAAAACAAATCATAGGACACTACATCAAAAACTACTGATGTGCTGTATGGTGGCTAAAATAACATAACAATAAAAAATAAAAACTAAGTGCATGGCCCTTAGTCATAGAGTGTCTTTAGTTTTATGGTCTCTGTCACCTCCTCAGCCCAGCACAGATGAGACTTTCACAGCATTTCTGACACAGGCAGGATGTGAGTTCTCACATCGCGTCTCTTGCACAGTAATACACGGCCGTGTCCTCGGAGTTCAGGCTGCTGATCTGTAGATAAACCGTGCTGACAGAGGTGTCCATGGAGAAAACAAATCGACTGGAGAAGCCTTGCGCATACGTTGGATTCCCAGTTTTCATGTTGATCAATCCCATGTTCTGCAGGCTCTTTCCTGGTATCCGTTGCACCCAGTTCATTGTGTAGCTGGTGAAGGTGTACCCAGATGCCTCGCAGGAGACCTTGACAGATTCCCCCAGCTTCCTCACCTCAGCCTCTGACTGCACCAGCTGCACTGGGAGTGGACACCTGTGGAGAGGGAATTGGAGATGATGAAGTCATGCTGACTGGCCCTGTTCCCCTCCTCTGCCAAAGGACTGGGGGAATCCCCCACCTGTAGCCAATACCACAGTGAAGAGGATTCTCCAGCTCCAGTTCATGGTGAGGTGCTGTGCTCTCACAGTTTCTACAAAGGATTGTGTGCAGCTGTTGGGTGATGTTCTCAGGGTCCAAACATGTGTATATTTAACCTAGTACACCTTGGATCATTTGCATATTCACAAAGCAGAATATTTCATATCAGGTAATGACTCATTCAGAGAGAAGACCCATCAGAGGGGAAACACA